TTTTAATACATTGAATAAATATATTTTTATATCAATTTTGTCATTTTTTTTTTTTTCGGTAGGTAACAAAACTTTTATCTTAAACTAATGTAATACATTTATAAAAAAATCTGCTTATAATATTTATAATTATATTTTTCCTGACCTAAGTCAATACTATTAGTCGGCTAGACAGCATTATTGATGACGATGAGTGATAACTAAACTCTAACTCGTGCCTTTTTATATTTCGACCAGGGACACACACCAGACATTTTTAAACAAAATCTGAGTAAGCTTTTACTTAAAAGGAATGGCATAGATAAATATTTTTTGGCTGGGGGGTTAATATATTTAGGTAATAATTATTTTTATTTTAACCTATTTATATTTTTGCAAAGGAGGGGTTGACCCTTCCCTCTCTACCTACGCCTATAATAACTGAAAGGTAGATAATAAATAATTAACCATTATTAGAATGTGATTAAATTATAAATAAATAAATTGGCTTAGTTATCATTTTTTATTTCCTGTACGATATTAATATAAATTTCTTTGATGATCGAATTTAAGTTTTGTCTAAGCTTAAGCTATGGACGATAAATATTCCATAGTTTTGATTTAATTATTTTTTTATTATTATGTATTTTATAATATTGAACATAATGTAAAATTCAAGTTTGAAATTTCAAACAATTTTATTAATTTATTTTGTGGTTTTAACGTAATATTATTATAATCTCATGCTAATGCATAAGTAATTGGGTATTAGTATTATGTTAAAGAATTAATATTTACTGAGTTTTAAGAACTCATGAAGTATAATGAACGTTGAAGGATAATTTTAGTCACTAGATTTAATTGGTTATTTTCGATAATAATCATTGTGATTAATAATTATATTTACACAATATATTATAATATTGCGTAGCAACATCCATTTCGAAGAATATTAACTGTAATAATTGAATTCAGATGTTTGCTGGACTCAGTTTATTAGTGTGGTATTTTTGATTTTATTTTTAATGAATGTATAGGTTATCTTAAAGTGAAAAGATCAAATTATTTTTCTTTTTTAATTTCCTAGTAAGATTTAGTTTGAACATATAATATGTGTATTGATCCTATGATTAATTACTGATACACGTTATCACAAAAACATTATGTTTGTAAAATTTAAAAATTATTTGTTACATACAAAAGTAATATTGTTATTTAAAATACAATTCATTTTTGTCTTTGGATTTTTTTATTTTTATATATAATAAAATATTTTACATAAATTAAAATATACATTAAAAATTAAGTTAAGTTTAGTTACTGACTTAGTACGAAACAGTTGTGCAATTGTTTCTTTCATAAGGGTTTCATTTTATTATAAAAAACATTTATCTATAATATCATGAGGTTTAATCGTCTCGTATACTTATATTTAGTTCTAAAAAATGTCTAAATGGATTTTTTCTAAATAATATAAATAATTCGGCTATATATCATATATGATTCGTTTGTTTTATAGTAACATAATCATCATAGTAAGAATTATGTCTTATTCACTTTACACCCACCCGTCCAGTATTAAATGTATTAAAAATTATATATATTTATAAATATGTATACAGTTGAAGCAGACGTTTTTCTTTTAGCGTAAACTGTACATCATGCTCTAATCGGATATTTACAATTAAGCATAAATGGCTATGTCAAAAATGCATTAGTTTTTACACTTATAATAATTTATGATAATATTTAATAATTATAATGATATAACTTTCGTAAAGTCGTGTAGCTCGGACTAATTTGCGAAGTCAAAGGGAAATGGTGATATGTTTAGCTCCTTGACTCGCGAATAAATTTGACATAAATTGATTTAAACAAGTTCAGTATTTACATTTAATCGAACGAGGATTAGAAGAATATACGACATGTACGTATACTGTATGATTAGAATAGAGGTAAAAAAGATCTAAAAAGAAGATTTCCTTAGTCTTACGATAAACTGCGTGTAGAGTATTATTTTAATTAAAAATATATACGTTAAATATTGTTTTTTTATGACGAATGACAGGTAGTCCGACGACAATGTGCGATAATGAGTGTGTATTACGCCCGCGAACCGATATCGATCATAAACGGTTACAAATTACAATGATCAAATGGTCGTGTTTGTTTATATTATAATTTTACACTCCATGTACGTAATCTATACGCGTTATCACGCGGATTCGTCGTCATATGATTTACAGATAAACCGTTCGCACACGGTAGCGACGAACCGGGATTTTCGCATGCGTGGATCACAAACATTAGAACTACCACCACTACCACCACCACCACCGCACCATCTTCTTCGTTATCGCCGCGAACCCAACAAAACACCAGGGGTTGTTTTCGAGGGCAATGAACTCGCTCTTCTCTTACCCGAAGGGGCGTCGTTGTTGTATAACACGCGTATACGGTACTATATAATACCCGTAGTAGGTAAAGGTGTGCGTACACATGTATATAAAAACATACAACACACTGCATCACACACACACAGACACACATGCTTACAAAAACACACCCCATTGTCAGCACCGGGATGATGACGCGCGCGTAAAAAGTGAAAGACCATCGCAGTAGTAATACATCGCCGATAGACGGTTGTAGTTTTTATTCTGGAATCGGTAGCAACGAATATTTTGGCGGTGTCCCGACGTGGTCTTGCGGTGGGTGTGTGTGTGGCAGACAAAAACTACGGGCGATGACTGTGCGAGACGTCGGTGGCGGTGATGGCCGCGAAACGACGCACGAAAAAAAATAACTATACACATTAAATATTATAAGAAGCGAATTTCCAGTGCGAATAATAAACGTATTTTATTGTGCGGTGCGTGACGGCGGTGTAGGCGAGCGGGGCTCGTAATATGTACGCGTTCCACACTCTCCGTCGCGTTGTCGAGGTCGGTGTTCGACATCGACGGCGGCGGGCGTGCGGGTCGTGCGATGTTCGCGGGGGCCCACGTGTAGGCGTCGGACCGACGTTTCTACCGGTCGGCGGCGGCGGATCGCTGAAACGTCGGTACGTCTCCTCCACAACCGCGGTCCGCCACCGCCGCCGCTGCCGCCGCCGCCGCACCGATGCGTTGGGAAAGGTTACTCCCCGCCGCTACCACCGTTGCCTCAACAGTAGCCGCCGCCGCACGCATGTTCCGCGCCCCGCGCCCCGCGCCCCGCAACGCGTAACGAAATTTCGTTTTACGATTCGCGCGCGCGCCGCCACCGTCCGTACGCGCGGTGCGTTGCATAACTACCACGTCCCTCTCGAAAAACACCGTCGTAACGAAACATAACACGATATTGTTATCGATACTCGCCGATTTTCTCCTCTCCGGACATTGTTCAAAGACCTGTGACTACAGTAGCTAAAATACTAACACGACGACTACGACGACGACATTGCACGATGTTCATACTGGACAAGCAGATGAGAGATGTTTGCTGTGTACCAGTGTACAACACCGACGACTAATCCACACACATCGCTTGTAATTGTAATTGTCGTTGGTGATAATATAATAATATTTGACATTTTCTTGTGATACATTTATTGAACGCGTGGCAATTTAACGTGACTCCCACATACGTCCGTAATCGTAGCGCGCTTATGTATGAAATATTACGATAAAAATTCTTTAATACACATATGTATGTATGTACACACACGCACATATATATATATATTAATTTATACATATGCATTCAATATAATATTATCAACATTATTATTATTACTATTATTATTATAATGAAGAGTGATCGACACAGTGTAATGATGTGTAATTTATTGTTTATCGTTATTGAGTTTTCGTCTGTATCACCACTCTCTCTCTCTTTCTCTCTCTTTCTCTATCTCTCGCGTTCACTCGAGTTCACTCTCCTTCTCTTCTCTTTCACTCTTTCTCTCCGTCGGCAATGAAACGTGTGCTGCGTGAACGCCTGCCTGCCTGTTTGCCTGCGTAGTGCGTACCGTGTTTTCGACGGGAATAACAATAAAATATAAATTCGGCAGATGCACACACACGCGCGAACGCGCTCTCGAACTGCGGTGTCAACGAACCTCCGGCCGCCCAAATGCAAGGCGCGCCCCTTTTTTTTCGGAGAATAAACGTCGTTGTCGTTGGTATCCGACCCCAATGCCCGACTTATTGGCTTGCGTGTGCGTGCGCGGTGCGTGTGATTCACCGGGGTCAACGCACCGACGCCCCGCGGTCGTTACCGCAGAACGCGTTGTAACAAAAAAACAAAAACTATGTTTTTCCTTTTCCTTCGAAACGTACTATTTATATCGACGGTGATGGTGACGTGCGTCCGCCAAGGTTATAATCGTACGCAACGCGGCTGTGGAATGGTCCCAGAAAGACGGACTACCATAGGTTGATGGAAAGTATGTGGTTTTTTCCTCGGGAAACGTTTGTTCGGAATCGTCCTTGATGGAACCGTGTCCCGAGTTTGTTGTTGCCGCCCTTTTCCCACACGAAAAGCAACCCCGTACTTTTTAACGTGCGGACCGGCAGGTGACTCGCTCAGGGGCAGCTGAGGCAAACAATACGATTTTCCTTTCAGCAGGATAATGTTATGCATGTGTTCCACAGAGGGATTCATAGCGTGTGTATTATTATCGTTGTCGTCGTCATCGTCATCTTTTGCCCGAGCAGTTGAGTCGCACTGCGAAGGGGACAAGGCCGAATGGTCGTTTTCGTTGCCGTTCGATGACCTCAATGCGTTTTTATTGGGTTTATTATTTTATTCTTTCCCCTACAGTTTGCGAGTACGCGGTTCTCTCCCCCGCGAGCGCGTCCCACGTGCTCCTACCATCGGTCGGGTTCGGCTCCAGTCGGCGGTCGCGCGTCTCTCTCTTTAACGCGGGTGTGTATGCAGTACGCACTATACGCACATACACACACACACACTCGCACACACACACACGCACACACGCACGCGAACGGTCGCACGTACGCACAATCGTACGCACGCACAACGCGATCTCTGCCTCTGCCAAAGCACGAATCGCAGCTGCGTGTGCGGGGACGCACCACCGCGCGCACCAACTCGGTCGTACACAACATTGTCGTGGTAGTAGGCAGTGTTAACGCGCGTGCCGCAAGCGTCGCTGTTCGTTCATTTCGTACCGCTCGCTTACAGCTCGCTTGCTCTCGCGCTTCTCCACGCATACGCATACGCACGCACGCACGCACCTACGCACGCACGCACGCGAACGCATTCGTATACACGTGCCGCAGGAAACCGAGAGAGGACCGTTTCGGACGAATCGCGCACGCCGCCTCCGGGGCTTCAGTAGGCTGTTGACTGTTGGCCGCGGTCCCGCGACCGTGCGATAATACTTCACTCTTCCACATTCATCCCGACACCGTTCGCCTGCGTAGTTGTCGCGAGCGCATGATAATATTATATCACTAGTTTTCACTATTCCCTATTTCTCTATCTCACTCTTTCCCTCACTCTTTCGATCTATCTCGGTCTCTCTCTCTCTCTCTCTCTCTCCCTCTCTTTCTTTCGTTTCCCATCTCCGCGGAACAGTTGCCGCTAATCATCTTCCATTAGTAATGCACCGACTCTGAGGTGAGTGCAGACTCTCTTTGGTCAATCTCAACTTTATCAGTCCGACACTTCCGTGTCGCGATTCCACAGTTTGTGCTTGTACTGTATTTGCATTCCGGTGGAATGCTTCGATGAAAATGGCTCAACTTTGGGACAAATCGCAAAAGCAATGGATTAAAAATTTTTGGCTCAATCTCAAAACCAACAAAAAAAACGCCGGTGGTAAGCATGAAGTTTCGATTTTGACTAGATTATTATGAACTATGATATTTCCTTTTGGTCCAGTGTCGATAAAATATTACGATATTTAGAACGGTTGTAATACCGAAAATGGACGATGTATTTTTTCTCACTTTTACGTGACTATGCCAATATTATTTGTACGAATGCAGTTTTAGTTTTATATAAATATCAATTTTTATTTTTATTTTTGTTGATGTCGTGGCATTTAAAACTATCTACGTTTTAATATGATACATGCGCAGTATAATATTTATTCAGTTATTGCGAAATTGAAAATAGAAACGTAGCGAAAATTTTACTATGGAAAGTATCTATATCACATTAAATATTTATCATCATATATCTAAATGTAGTCGATTAATGTAAATCAAAAACCTTTTACGCTTCAGAGTTATTTTTATACTGAGTATGGTATGATATAAAGTGTTTTGTATGTATTAAATTGTGATCATAAGGAAAAAATGTTAAATATTTTTTAAAAGTATTCAACGGGACATACGTTATTAAATATGATGCGAAAATTGATACTTGAAATCATGAAAATTACAAAATGAATTACTTATTTAATTATATACTATAATGTACAAGTGTTTTAAAGTTTACTAGGTATATGTATTGTATATGGCGAATCAATTTAAATAGAATTTTAGCTTTATTTATGTTTAATATCTCAATTACTAATTTTATCTCCATTAGACATTGTAATTAAAATTTATAATTGAATGTTTTTGTTATTCTAAAAATGTCATAGGTAATGTTTTAGTATAATAATTATTTCATTTAAACTGTGTTCATTAGTATGAAAATGTTGTGAGGTATATAACTTATATCGTGTTATCAATGTATATGTCTCCCATGTCATATTTACTAGAAGATTAATTGCATTATATAATATTTACCTCGATTAAAAAAAAATCATAAACCTTTTCTGCTATTTGAATTTTATCAATATTTAAATAATAAACATATTATAAAGCAATATCTTTAATATTTTGAAGTATAAACTTATAGTCATCAGTGTTTAATTATTGCTTCTTCGTCTAAATTAATCTAATATTTTTATAAGTACATGGACTCCTAGTTATAGTACAATTTAGTTGTACAAGAAGAATCATTGCACGCAAAGAAATAAATAGATGTACACAACTTACAAAAGAATAGTATAGAATTAACTTATTAATGTATGTATTATATTTTATTTAACAATTTGTTGAAAAACAAAATGTTTTTCGGCAGTTTTTTAAATGTTGGTAATTTATTATGTATTTTTTAGAAGTAAATTAAAGAAAAATAATTTTAATTAAAGAAAAACTAAAGCACTGAATTGAAAAAGGTTGAGTATATTCATTTATTTAAAGTTAAATATGTATATTTTATTATAAAATATAAATATTAATATACTTTTATTTTTACCTGTTATCTTTAATAGTAGACCTTTGCCTTACACTCGCCATTTAAATTGTTATCCAATTAGAATATGACCTAAAAATGTATTCGGTTATTATACCCATTATAATAACAATAAACACTCGTAATGCACGATAAAGTTACTCTTATTGCCCGTGTTAAAGTGTTTTGATTGTAATTTATTTATATTTTATACATATGTATTATAGTATAGTTTAATATACACTCTATAAATACAGATAAATGGAAACTAATTAATTTTGTAACGTATTCGTTATTTGTTTGAACATAATCAATAACCATTGAAACATTAATTTTACAATCTGCTTGTGGTAATTCATTACAAAATGTCTGTTATTATTATTATTATTTTATTACGACAGTTATGATTCAAACATAAGACAAGAAGCAATAATCTGTATATGTTTAACTTGTTATACCACGAACATTTTCTGTATTTCCCTTAGGCGAAAATGTATAATTTTTTCATGAATTGGTATTTTTCGTCTTATTTTAAATTATATTACGATTGAATTACATTTTATATCAACGGTCAAGTAAACTCTATGGGCTGTCTTACTCAAATTATAATTGTTGACATTTATTTCGTCGTCTTAGCTCGGTCTTAAAGCGTCTTCAAACATATATCCATCTATTTGTTCTAGAATAAAGTTTTGTTCCGGATTGCTTTATATAAAATGTATGCGAAAATTTGCAAGTTGCATATTGCGCGGCGTTGCGAATAGGCAATTCATGGCCGCTCACGTCTTGTGCGCAAAAATACTGTATTGCCAATCTTCCCACACTTGCGATTTTTATTTGCGAATTTTTTTTTTTTTTATGTTTATATCATATTGAATGCACGCACCAAGGTCAGGTAATCCTAATAGATTTCTAGCTACTAACTATTTTTCTTTGTATACATTTTCAAACAGAAAAAAGTCTTTTTGAAATTTTTCGCCAATTTATTGAATTATATTACGGAAAATTATATTAATACGCTAAACTACCAATGATATGTTTTAGACAGGTCTTCAGAAAAAAAAAAATAGTTCGAATTGAATGTCGGAAGCAGATTTTTTTTATTAATTAGTTTTCTTATTTTTATAATACAAGTATATAGTAAAATTAAATAAATATTAATTTTTTATTATTTATATTTACTGTCTTGTACAGTATAAGATACCTATTGTATTTTTATTGTTTATTCGTTCGAATAAATTTATGTTGTTAGCGTATAATGGATAACAAAAAATTGTAAAACCAATTAAATCTTATCAATTACAAATTATTAATTACATCTCCTTTTCCAGCGTGCATTTATTGCCCACCGTTTATACAAACGCGTCAAATAATTAACACGTATATAATGGAACCATTAATCGTAGGGGGTAGATATTACAGATATTATACTCATGAATATTGCACACCGGCTTATATACATGACAACTCCCAATCATGTATAAACATAACATAATAATACGATGGACAATTACGACGAATTTATATTCGTAATATCAATAATAATAATATTTCAAAAATGGTTTCGTTGACAATATAAGCCCATGAATCAATTTATATCTGTATGATTGAGAATGCAAGCTCATGTATACATAAATATTGCATTCCTACCACGTGAGTCTATCAATTAAAATTATATAATAATTCATGCTCGGAAAGGTTATTATCAGGTCCAACCTATACGCGTATATATATAACTATGTATAAGCGTTTGCGTTGTATACACAAAGCCACGTCCTTTCTATATTTAATATAATCAAACTAGCGACCGAACAGGTTTGTTTTCTTCCTGTTCATCGGCAAATTTCTATTACGAATGATACCGTATTTTAACTTTATATTCGTGTTCGACATTATACCCATAAACTCACTAAATAATTTATAAACTCAATTAGTGAAAACTATTATAAATACATAGAAATGTATACTAGATACAATATAGTATGGTAACTATTATATATTTATAATATATTCGCATTAATTCATTTTTATTTTATTTATTGATTATGGCATTCTAAAAATCCTTTATCTTTTTTTTTTTTCATAATCATTATATTACCACAAGTAAAATATTAAAAAAAGAGCGAGACTTTTAGATTGAATGAGACACCATATTGAATAAGCTACAGTATCTTTCGTATTTTATCACAGTTTTTTTTCAATTATTTAGTAATATAACTGTTGAGACGTTAAAAACAAATCAGCAAAATTACCTACTAAAAAAGGTGGTTTCCTATCTTTTACTCTTTATGTGGTGGTGAATAGAAATCGTCATTTGGTTGAAACATTTTACACAGACACAACAAAAAAACATACAGACACATCATGGTACAACCATCACATTTTATATTAAACTCAAAATAAATTTAAAATATGTTATTTAATTATAATTAAAATTAATTTAATTGATTAAATTTATAATTATAAAAATATGAATTAAAATATTTATTTATTTGTATATTAATTTATTTTTTGATATTACAACACACGCGTATATTTTTAAATATTATATTGTAAAATTCAGATGTTTAATATTTCATCACCATTCTTCAGTAATATTTATGTGAAGTATAAAAATGTATAAGTTCTTTTATACAGGTTATTTTTAAATTCTACTTCATTATTTATGATTTTTCGAGGTTTTTATGTAATATTTACATAAATTAACAATTTAGTTATTAAATAATATTTTTTTATTTGTTAACGACTAAACTTACTTCTGCCTACATTTTTCATGAACCAAATCACTAATCTTACTAGAAAATTTCCCCTCCCCAAGCACACATATGAAAAATGGGCGTTCGAAGTTACGATATAAATTAATCAAAGCGGAAACGTATTAACCGATCAATAAAATCTGTTTATCTTCTGTTAATCTTATTATTTGATTTTATGTTTGCAGAAAAAGTTTTGGGCCATGTCTCTGACATGGTAGAACTGATCAATGGAGAAATTCCGATATTGAGTTCATCAGGCGGAGGAGAATCTACTGATTTCGTACGAGTTGGCATCGACTGCACACTTAGCCCATTGAAACCCGCGGCCGCGGCTACGTCAACGACCGCCACTTCATACTATAACAATCATCAACAACAAACACAAAAACAACAACACTCGACCATTATCAGTACGGAACACGCTACCGAAGGATCGGCTACAACGATCAAGCGCGTTGTGTGCAGCCCTGATCTACCAGTTTTCACCATAACGCCAGTTGTCGAAGAGGCAGCCGTGGCCATCGAGTCAGCTAAGGCGGTGAAGGTAGCTTCGCCGGACGTACCGCCGTCACAGACCGGGTCGGGCGCCGTGGCGGCAACGGACAAATCGTTAAAGTGCAACGTGTGCCAAAAAGTGTTCATGCAGAAGAACGCATTTCAAAATCATTTGAAATCCCACGTGAAAGACTCGACGTCCGACGGGCCGTTCCAATGCAACTACTGCAGCAAATCGTTCACAGTGCCGGCCCGGCTGACACGGCACTACAGGACGCATACAGGTGAAAAACCGTACAAATGTGAGTACTGTGACAAGCCGTTCTCGGTCAAGGAGAACTTAAGCGTGCACCGGCGCATCCACACTAAGGAACGGCCGTACAAGTGTGACGTGTGCGAACGGGCGTTCGAGCACAGTGGCAAGCTCCACCGTCACATGCGCATACACACGGGCGAACGGCCGCACAAGTGTTCGTTCTGCGACAAAACGTTCATACAGAGTGGTCAGCTGGTCATCCACATACGGACCCATACGGGCGAAAAACCGTATGTGTGCAAGACTTGCGACAAGGGGTTCACGTGTTCCAAACAGCTCAAGGTGCACACGCGGACGCACACGGGCGAGAAACCATACTCGTGTGACATTTGTGGCAAGTCGTTCGGCTATAATCACGTGCTCAAGCTGCACCAGGTGTCCCATTACGGCGAGAAGGTGTACAAGTGCACCATCTGCAACGGCACGTTCACGTCGAAAAAGACCATGGAAAGTCACATTAAAAGCCATTCGGAGAACAGTGGCGGGGGTGCGGCCGCGTCCGGCAGTCCGGCGACGAGTTCTGTGGCGGTTCCGGGTGCCGTGGCCGTCGAGGTGACGGTCCTCAATAACAAGGACGGGTTGATGGCGTTTGAAGGCGAAACCTCGTCGGGGTGCGGCAGCGACAAGGAGAACAAGTCGGCTTCGGCCGCGGCCGCGGCCGTCTTGCTGCAGCTATCCGATGAACGCGGCGGCGGTGAAGGTGGCGGTCTACAGCAACCGGTGGTGGAAGACGACGACGGTAAATCGGATGAAGACGAAAACGACGAAGACGGAATGATGGTGATGGGCTCGGGCGATGTGGACACGGAGCTCAATAAACTGTGTCAGTACTTGTACCCGAGGCTGCCCGGTGGCCGGAAACGCGGTGGGTACGACGTGGCCGCTGTTGGAGATTACGACGGTCACCGTCAAGACAACGACGACGACGACGACGAGTACAATTGCGATCAACCGCCAAGTCCGGCTAGCAGTTCTTCGGGTTCGATGGCTCTCACCATGGACGAGTCGCCGCCGCCGTTGTCCAAGTCTTCGGCTGGGCGTCGAAAACAGTCGTTCCACACCATGCAAACAGCAGCGCAACGGCAAACACAGCAGCATGTCGAATACGCCATGATGATGATGTCTGACAACCACGAGCGCGTCATGTCGCCACCGCCCGTCGGGTACGCGGTCGCTGCCGAGATACCGCCGGTCGTGTCGTTGCCCGCGGCACCGTCGCCATCACCAACACCGCCGTCGCCACCGCCTACGAACGATAGGGACCACCTGAGCTTGCCACCACGGAAACGGTCGAAAATGATACTGAAATCGATGGAGAGTACCGCCAAGAAAGAAGCTCAATGTAGCAGATACAGCTCAGTCATACAATACGCTAACAAAGCTTCAATGTAATACATAATACTATCATCACAATTAATATTATTTTACTGAATAATATTACTATTATTATTATTATTATTATTATTATTATTATTTCATATTGGAATAATATACGTAGGAGTTTCGTACTACTCGCAAATGTCCCAAATCTTTTTTGAAACGTACATCTTTAATTATTTATCTTTATTATCACAAAAGTCAACTTAAGTATAATTTTTTTCGTCATTAGTGTTAAACAAAAGAAACATTTATTATTTTAGGATCTGTGATATGATTATACATTATTTACCAAAATATTATTAGTTGAACCGCAAGAAAGGGGGAACGACGCAAGGAGAGTTATAATAGTTGTTATCAAAAACAGGAGTATATATTATTATTTTCTACGTTTTAGAACTAATTGTATTATTATTATTATTTATTTTTTAACAAATATTTCGATTCCTCGAGTGTGTTTCCCTCGGAGGTTCCTTTCGTATATATTTACGACTTTTCTTTTAGTCTATGGGAAAATATGCTGTGTATGCATTATTATTATTATTATTATTTTTTTTAATGCAATTTTAGTCTATATTTCTATATTTATATAAATCTATATTTATATTTATAGAGAATAATTAAATCATACGGGTAGTAGTTAATTACATTGTCTCGCTAGAGAAACAAAAAGTCTGTCGAGCAGTTTTGCCAATATAATTATTATTGATATTAAATTGCATTTTTGAACTATCTAAATGCAATAAGTTGTGTAGTTTCATTGTTTTTTTTTTTTTTTTTTTTTTACTAGGTGTATAGGAATAAGCATAACTATTATTAATACAATTATAAAAATACAAAATGTAAATCATCTACCTCATTTGTATGCCTTATATATTAATTGCCTACTATTAGAAAAAAAAAGTACAAATCATATATCCTAAAGTGACGAACTCACTAAGGACCAATTTATATTTAATTAATTATATTTATTATGTATGTATATAATATGTATGTGTGGGTAAGACGTGGGATTTACACAACACACACACATTACATATATTATTTATCATTCAGTAGACTCTTGTTATGATATCATGTTAAGATGTCTTGATATCTCACATTTTACAATATATTAAACTTTTGAAGTGTTTTTTTATTAAATTTTTAAATTTTGGGATACTCTTGAGTCTACTGTATTATTATAAACTTATTTAGTTATAAACAAATTTTTTTTATGATATATCAGCATCAATCAACAATATGAATATTGTACGAAATTAATTTTTAATAATATGTAAATACATTGACTGTTTTTGTTTCTATATGCATATATAATTCATATAGGTACGAATTGGACGTAAATGTACTGATTTCGGATCTCTTATACCTTTGTAAAAGCTATAGTAGCACTAATATTTTTTTGAGAAATATGATGAATTTAATGTTCTTACTACAAAATCTTTGTTAATTAGTACATACCTCTACTGTGTTGTTTACTAAACATAAATATAGAACAATTATGATGTTTACTATTTTAAGAAAATTAAATCAACTAGAAATGTCCGTATTTTAAGTAAAAAAAATTTAAATACCGTAATTTTGAATACAACTACGCAGACGTACACGGTACGTGTATTATAAACGTTATTATTAGAATATAATAAACATTTATTTATAGCTTATGTTTAAAAGACATTAGTAATATGATTGTCGTTTAATTAATAAGTAGTTTTATTAAAAAAAAAAAAAAAAAATATGTATGTTAAAAATGTTTATTATTATTTGTTTGCATTTATTTAACTTATTATATAATACGGGTAAACTTGTTCAACTGATGGTGCAAATATATTATATTCTTATAGTGAACATTAATGTAACCTCGTATGAGTATCAAATGCTTTTTATTTCCATTGATTTTGTTTAATCTTTGTTTGAAAATGAAGAAAATCATATTTATTATTATTATTTTTTTTTTTTTAATCTTTAAAGTAGTTAATATAAAATTTTAACATTGTTTAAAACTTCTGAAATCACATAATATGTGTGTCTTAAAAGTTTGGAAACTTTATATACGTTATTTCTATTGTCGATGTTTTCCTAGTTTTTGATTAACACACGTTATATGATTTTGGGGGTATGACAACGATGAAAATGTTTGTACCTCTATACAATATTATTACGTAGACATTAAATTTATATACCTATAGTCTAATGTTTTATCTTTAGGAATACTTGATTTAGTAAATAGTATATTAATTATTATAATTTTACTTTTATTTATTGCAATTATTTTTCTTTTGTTTTTGAATGTTTGAAGTGAATTGTATTTAAAATTATGCAAATTTTATTCGGAAATAAAATATCAAATACTACCTCATTAATATAACAATAAATAAAACTGTGTATTTTTTTTTTCGTTATTCCCAATTATAGTTTGATAGAATAATTTAAACAATTGCAAACCGAAAAACAAAAATTTCTACGGCTAATAAATATTTTAAAATTTATTTTCTTAACTTAGATATTGCATATAAAATGACATGAGATGATTATTCTAGTATTTAAGTATTACTGGAAATTTTTTGAAGTTAGTAGTATGTACGGCCAAATACTAGATTTTATGTACCAAATTTTCTTTTATACAGTCTTTTATGCTTGAAACCAATGTACATTGCTTTTTTTTTAAAAAAAAAATCCTTTTTGAGTGAAAAAGATCAGTTAAAATTTTTAAATGTAATTTTTGTAGTAGTAGAACCAAATTTATCAATAATGTTGGCTGTACTTTTGATATTCAAACATTTGCAAAAAGAAAAAAAAGAGACAAGTAAATGATTGTACGTCCAGCGTTTAAACTACAACCAAGTAAAATGTAAGAAAAATCGAAAATTTCACATACCTATAAACAGTAAAAATTTCAATTAAATATTTCGAATCTATGAAATTTCATATTAAAGACGTTAAATTAGTATTGTACATAAAATACTAGTATAAGTACTCAATAAATATTTCTAATTACTAGTGTTACTACCATAAGTGTATTTTATAAAATAACAAATTAAGTTTTTTATTATCTATCAGTTAGATATCTTACGAAATAAAATCAAGAAAACATGAAACATTATATTATCTATCTATACATAACTTAAATAACTTTTTTTTGAAATTATAAAATGTATAGCAACAATGATAAAAGCACTAAGGGAATATTTTAAGACTAACATAGTTTTGTATAACTGTGAAAAAAAAATCGATTTTATAAGTGATGCCGTAAATATATGTGGAAATTCGTAAAATTACTATCCTTAAAGTACTAGCTAGACAACATTTATTGAGATTGTGATGATTGGAGCAATCTTTATGGTTCAAAATGTGTGCAGAAATGAAAAACAAATGACGGTAGAACCAATAACACTCAAAATGTAACATATGTATAATTTAATAGAAATATGTACATTTATTAAAAGTACAAAAAGACATAATAAGAGAATATAAAAGGATAAATTCCTAGATACTACCTATATTGTTTCTGTTCATGAAAACTGATAAAAATACGTGAATCGATTTATTTTTATAAACATACTTGCTTTTAGAAAGCGGTTCTACCAATTCCGTTGTCAGAATTTAATTTTTAATTAAAAATTATTACTTTGATTTGGAATTTAATTTTTTTCATTCGTGCATGATACGTGTTTGTGAATACTTGTCACTTTGTTACAATTTGCGTTTTTAGTTCTAATATTAATCGCGTTTAACATTTTTGAAAAAGGCTTGTACTAGTAATAGTAAACTGTGATTTTTTTCAGTAGGAGTAGCAACTGCGTATTATGTATTCTTGCGAAGTAAAAATCATTTTATTAAGGTACTTTATAAATTGTATAAGTTGTTGACAACTATTTGTGTTTTCTCCGTAACCGACAAGAAAAACACATCGATCAACCGGTCGTCGCCACCTACCGCAGCCTGTTTTGCTTATACAAAATAGTTATAAATAGAGTTCTCGTATGTATCAATTTTGTTAATATTTTATCTTATTTCTTTTTACACTTGCCAAACAAACGATCATAAACTAGCAGATCACTTTTCACTGAAGAACAACCGGCAACAGCAGTCAGGTGTTAGCATCAATTTTTATTATTATTTGAATTTCGTAAGACGTAAATAGACACAATTTAGAATAGCCTTAGAGTTAACCTATCACTCACCAAAAGAGCAAAATCGTATTAGTCAACTAAAATCAATTTGTTTTATACATTCTCATATCAGTTAGTCAAGTTAAAGCAAGAAAAGAAAAACTATACACATCGGGGCTGTCCTTTTGTATGAAAGTAGAAATTTTAGTCGGTATGCTTCTCAATATTTTTATAAAACATAAATAAAAAATATTATTATTTTATATTTTTTATTATAAAGTAATGTCTATGAAGTTTATCCATGATAAGTAAATTCTACATTTGAAAATTTCCCAAATGATTGTATTTTGTCATTTTTTAGTTCTTTTTAAGTTTGTGTTAAAACTATACTACTTAAAGTAAAAATTGATAAATCTCTTATTGTAGAGCATTCAGGCCCGTATTTAGTGGAGGCACGGATAGACACATACCCGGGAGAGTCAAGTCTCAGGGGCGGCAAAATATTTTAGCAAAATTAATTTTAAAAATGAAGCACCTAATGAAAAAAATAATAAAACAATAAAAAAAAGAAAATAGTAAATTTTATTTTATTATAATTTGTAAATTAAAAAAAAAATTGTATTTTTATTATATTATAATTTGTTAATTAAAAAAAAAGGAAATTGTATGTTTTATTATGTTATAATTTGTTTAATTTTTTAATCAAAAAAAATACTAAACGATTTTCATTTATAAGTTATATTTTAATATTAAAGAATTTCGATTATAGACGAAATAATAAATGTTATATTATTATTTATTTTTTTTTTGGGGGGGGGGCATAAGTTATATACCCGGGGGCATCACATTTTTAAATACGGGCCTGAGAGCATTACAATACAAAAAAAAAAAAGTATTCTTGTAAATCTATTATTTTCCAAGAAAAACAATAAAATATATAAATAATTAATTTTTTGGTAAAATTCAATTTTTATAATTTTTTACGATTTATTAATTTTATTATATTTAAGACATCTATTATATTATAATTAGTATTTTATGTAATTTTTTTTTTGTTCAATTAAAGTATTTTTTCTTGAATCAGGATAATTTTTCCGATAATCAACCATGATTAAAAATTTATTGTTTTTTTCCTTGTTTTTGGTTATAATATAATTTATATCTTCAATTAGTTTAACTGCTATTTCAGCAAAATTAATTACCACTTTTAAAATCTGCATTTTCTTTTAGTATCTTGAATATCCTCATTAGTATTCCAAAACTTGGAATCTCTATTTAAAAAACTAGTTTTAATATCAAATCGTCTAAAAAAATGTATTGCATTTTGATTAATAAATTCATCAACTGTTTTCTTAACAAATATCTTATAATCGATTGCTACATTGATTTTTTTTTTTTATTGTTATTTTCATCATTTTCGTTATTTAATGCTTGAATCATTCTTATTTTTTTGTTTCTAACGATAAGTGATCGTCAAAAAATGCTAATGCCGAATTTTCGGATGATAAATACCATAAATGGTTGGTAAATTTGTTGAGTCCTATTTTTCTTTTATCTGAATTGATATTTTGATATACGTAAAGACTTTACTTTTTAAACACAATTATCCTTTTCAAGTTTTTGTTTTAAAAGAACACACGCTCCTTGCAATCTTCCCATATTTGAAGATATCGTATCACAACAAATACCTTGAATATTTTCTATAAAATTCTACTCTTCTAACGTATTATAAACTGCTAAAGATTTGTCTTTACCCGTTACTGATTTTATAAAAGGGCCAAGTGTAATAAACACTGTTATAAGCAAAAAAAAAAAAAAACAGTCACTATTATTTTCATAATGAAATAGCAGACTGTGATTGATACTTTGAAATCATCTGTGAAAAATCACTGTTACTGTTATTACGTACCATCACTACTCTGCACGTTTTTGTGTCAAAAAAATCGAAATTTAAAAATATAATGGACATTTATTTTCTTTAACAATTTCAAAATTTCAAAACACTAATATTGAATATAAAAATGTGAATAACAGAAAAACCAACTGCAATATTTTGAAAAATTACAGTTTTTAATTTCAACTTTAATATTAATTTGTTAAAATTAAGTCTTATATCTATATTTCATTCTCGTAAAAGATAATAAGGGTATTAGGGATCGGCAAATCTCGATCACATCATAAAATATTAAAAAATATTTTTTATTTTGCAATTATATTTATGAAAACAAGAAACTCTTGGCTTAAGATAGGTTTAAACTTTCAAAGATATTAATTGTATTGAGTTATAAATATCAAATTAAAAGTAAAATATTTGTTCGCTACGTATTGGAGTATTCAATTTTTATAAGTTCATAAAATGTATTAAAAGCGTTGAAGTTAATATGTGTATATTACTTCTGATTTTTAAAACTTCATTTTTATTTGTCATCAATCTTATATAAATAATATCTATTATTAAACAGCCATTGTCATATTATCTGTAAGGACAAGTGTGTAACTAATAATTAATTAAATATTTGTTCAACTTTTTTTCATACTTAAAATATCAAAATACAATATTTATTTTTTAAAGACTTTAAACTCACTAAAATATTTTATTGACTGGATACGACTCACGCTTTTATCGTTATTATCAACGCCATACTTACTCCAGGTAAGTATGTATTTCAACATCAATCATCCATTTAATTATTCACAATCTACAATACTTAGGTGATTTTCGTTTAAATTATACACATGGACTATTTTTATAAAACAAGGTTACCATTAATTAATTAAACAAAGGCATCATTTTATATATGTGTATAATTATTATAATACTCTATAATAAAGTATTAATAATACCTTTGTTGCGATGATTTGTATATATTATATTTTTATTTTTTTATATAATATATATACATATATATTCGTGACATTGTTCAAGGAATTTTGCTTTTGTTGGGTATATAAAATAATGAATCTAGAATGATTGAACCAAGTATTCTCGATACGAGGAACAGAGAGAAGAAAAAATATTTCCCTCCTCGACTTGAAAATGTGTATTGAATAACGATTTATCTTGCGAAAAAATGTATTAGCAGTGAAGTAGTTATGTATTGTTAATTACAAATTAATGTTTTCCAAAATATGCTG